CCAGCCACTCCTTGGAAGGAAGGTTGGGCAATCTACTTCTGTAGTGATACTGCCTCGGAAACCCAAGGAGGGGCTGCTATGAGTCGGATCTAACTTCACGGTGGTGAAGTTTTTTTTTTTTTTTTTTTTCTTTGGTTATTACAGTATTTGTTAAAAATGTCCACATTCTATTACTAATAATTGTTGTCACTCAGCTATTTCAAAGAAGCAACAAGAATGTTACCAAATAGCTGAAAGAAAATTTTAAGAAAGTGGTATTTTCCTTAGGTTCAATTATTTTCCAATGATGAAAACATGCAACAGTCCTTATTTTACACTGGCAGAGATGCATTAGTAATAGCCTTAATAATATATATATATATATATATATATATATATATATTTTGTGAAAAGGCAATTTATCAAAACAATGTTATAGGGAACTTTTATCCAGTCTTTCTCTTGTTTATTTTTTTCAAGTGAATCAAATGTCTTCTGTGGATTTAATTAAGAAAAACAGAGATTTGAAAAATACTCATTATTTTTATTTTGACATTAAATAACTCAGGGCACCTTAGGGAAGACTGAGCTACTGTTAAGGGTGTTGGAAAAAATTGGGGATGGTTAATGGAGATAGTTGAAAAATATGATCAATATATGTAATGTCACTGAACTGTACCTGTGAACTGTTGAAATGGCAAATGTTTTGTTATCTATATATTTACTACAATAAAAAAAGAAATTAGTAGAAAAAAAAAAATAACCCAGGCCACGATCAAGAACAGTTTTAAGCTTATCAAACTAAAATGTAATTAAAAATAGATAGGTAATCCTGGAGCTAAGAATGTTGGATGAACACCCGAAACTGCAGCCCTGAGCTAATCTTTAAACCTTAAAGCAAAAATATCCCCTGAAGTCTTAAAACCAAACAATAGTTTAGCAAAACTAATTAAAAAATGTTGCCTTCAGCATTACACTCTTTTAAAAATTATGGTGGCCTAGGTTCAGAACCACCAGGCACTCCTGGGAATAAAGATTGGGCAATCTACTTCCGTAGTGATACTGCCTTGGAAACCTAAGGAGGAGTCACTATGGGTCCACGGCAGCGAGTTTGATTTTTTCATACATGATCAAATTGACAAGAGTAACTGGATAGATAGGTAAGAACCTTACCAAAAGCAATTCATTGCCATTGAGCGATTCTGACTCATAGCAACCTCCCTTGGGTTTCTGAGGCTCTAAATCTTTACAGAAGTGGATTGCCCCATCTGCCTTCCGCAGAAGGGCTGGTAGGCTTGAACCGCTGACCTCCTGATTAGTAGCCAGCTGCCTATCCGCTTCTCCACGAGAGCTCCTTCGTAGGAACCTTAAGGGGCCATGATTTTTTGTTAATGAGGGAGGAACAACTCAGAAGAGCAGGGTGAGAATGGTTACATAACTGGAAAAAAAGCATCAGTATCACTAAATACTATGTGTAGAAACTGGGGGCTCTGGTAGCTTAGTGCCTAAGGCACTTGACTGCTAAACAGAAGTCTAGCGGTACAAATTTACCAGCCACTCCTTGGAAGACTGGGCAATCTACTGTGAGATACTGCCTCGGAAACCCAAGGAATCAACTCGACAGCAGTGAGGTGTTTTTTTTTTTTTTTTTAGAAATTGTTGAATTGGTCTATGTTTTGCTGTGTATATTCTCAACAACAACAAAATAAATAAAACTATATATTAAAAAAAAAAAAAAGATTAGGAAGTGTAACTTTTGAAACCCTAGGGGGCTGTCCATCCCACAGATCCTCGCAGAGCTGTATGCTGTAATAGAGGCAAAGATCCGCTAGGTGGCTCTGTCATTTTTAAACAAAACTACCCACACCCATGGGAGCTCTGGTAGCGTAGTACCTAAGGCACTTGACTGCCAACGAGGAGGCTGGCGGTTCAAACCCACCAGCCAATCCTCGGAAAGAAGGTTAGGCAATCTACTTCCGTAGTGATACCGCCTCAGAAACACAAGCAGGGGTCGCTATGAGTCGGTCCGACTCGACAGCATATAACAATAACAACAACCCACATCCATTGCCTTGGGGTTGACTCCCACTCACAGCGACCCTGTAGAACAGAGTAGAACCGCCTCATAGGGTTTCCAGGGCTGTAATCTTTATGGAAGCCGGCCACATCTTTCTCCAAGGAACAGCTGGTGGGCTCCCAACTGCCAACTTTCCGCTAGCAGCCAAGTGCTTAACCCCTGTGCCACCAGAGCTCCTTTAAACAAAACTAAAGTCAGCAAAAGACTATGTACAGGTAAGGAACAAAATATTCTCACTGGGCATAACTTTTAACTAAAGCAAGTAACAGTAATAATCTTCAGTCATAGCTTCTCATTCAGAATAATTTGGCAGTGTTGGTTAAAGAATCCCATTTAAAAGAAAAACTGCAACACTGCAAGCACTACCAGATTTTTCAAAGTATCATCGGTAAGCAGTTTGCTAAAAGATAAGGGAAGGTATTATATTCTTAAGAACAAAATGTCTCAAGAGAAGATAGTTTGAAAAATTTCCAAATTTTATTGCCATTCAGGTTTCCAGCTTTTCTTTTGACCTGTCTCTTTTTCGTTTTGACGTTTAAAATTAAGAGCAAATACTAAATGTGGACATTAAAAACCTGTAGCCATCGAGTGGATTCCGACAAAAAGCGACCCTATAAGGCACAGCTTTTCAAGGCTGTGATCTTTAAAAAGCAGACTGCCACATTTTGCAGAGCATTTGTTGGGCTCGAACAGCCAACTTTTCCGTTTGCAGCCAAGTGGTTTAATTACTGCACAATCAGGGCTTCTTAAAGTGGACATTCAAACTTACTGAAAATCACTTTCCAATTTTCCAGGTTATATTTGTCATCCTACATACTAACAGAAAATGAACTATTTACTTCCTTCCCAAGAGCGGATTGCCCAATAACCAAGGTAAACAAGGGCTTACTTGTGCTTACTTACTAATCTACAGTGAATAGTTTCATGTTTTTCACCACATCAAAGAAAACACAACTAAATAATTATATATGAAGTGTGATTTCCATTTTAAGTGTCAAAATTTGCTAATTAAATTCTCTAGATTTCATTTTTAAGAGAGAAGATACCATAAGACAATCATTTCCCAAAAAAATATCTAACTACTTTATCATGACAATAAATGTCCGGGAAAGAAGTTTCCAAGTTACTAAATATTCCCTACTGTCAGTCTCTAATTGGCAAACAGAAAACAAAAACAAAAACAATTTGTTTTCCCTACCTGTCTCAAATGAGAACCTCAGACCTGGCACTTACTAGAAACACATTTAGTAAAACTTCATTGTAAGGGAAACCATTATCTAATTGCTGTTGCTTTGAGCCAATAAATATGATCGTATGGCATGTGGGATTGCCAGAGTATTTTATCGTTTTGTTCGTTTTTGCAGCCAAGGAGCATCATTAGAAAGGTAGAGGAGAATTCACACCATAATTCGATAAGTTCGTTCTTGTAAACGAGCTCTCGCTGCACAGTTTAAATTGTAGTTGGCTTTAAAATGCTAATTCCAAAACCACTTGATAAATGTCTTTGAAAACACTCACTCTTTTATTTTCAAAGACAACAAATAACACCGAAAGACCGTGCAGACCGAACATAAAAAAGAAAAAATGCTTCCCAAATGTGAACGAATACATAGTTTACTTAGAATTAAAAACTGATTTCAGAGTACCTCCGATCACAGAATCCCCAAGGAGAAGGGGACACATTAGGGGTGCCCTTTAATATACCCAAAAAGAGCATGTCAGTCCCGTTTATTACTTTCGATAGATCCCCTGAGAACGGACGTGAACGAAGAAGCAACTTGATCACAAAAGGTTTAAAGGCCCGAGATAAGAAAAAAAAAAAAAAAAAATCAGACGGGGCAGGTGGCCTGGGGGGAAGGGTGTTATCGAAAGTTAAGTTACAAGCATTTTACAAAACGTTTTATTGTTTTGGGTATATTCCTTTTGTTTTAGTATTCGTTATTTTATTATCGTGTAAGGAACACGTCGGCTAGGCAAGGGGTGCTGTTAGCCCTGAACCTGGAAGCCAAAATCTCCCCCTACCTGGGCTCCCAAGGCAAGGCGAAGAGCGGCTGCATTCTCAGGACAGGCGAGAGGGTTCTCCGCGCGCTCCGCCCGGGGAGCGCGGACAGGTGGGGCGTGGCGGGGGCGTGGAGAGTCCCCGCCCGCGGGCCGCCGCCCAGTCCTGGTCCCGGGCCGGGAGGAGCCGCGCCGCAGACAGCTATAAGAGGCCGAGTGGCAGGCGCACCGCGCGCACCCCCGACCCCCGCCAGGCACACCCCAACCCCACTCCCGGCGCCGAGAGAAGGACGAGAAGGGGCCGCAGGATTGGCCCGCCAAGGGATGCTCTCGCCCGAGTGGCGAGGCCAGCCCCGCTCGCCCCTTGCCGCGACCGCGCCGCATCCGCCGACGGCCGCCGACATGGCCCTCTATTGCGGTGACAATTTCGGCGTGTACTCGCAGCCTGGCCTGGCCCCACCGACCGCCGCCGCTGCCCCGGGGGCCCCCACTGCTGCCAGGGCGCCCTACGGACTGGCCGACTACGCCGCGCCGCCGGCTGCCGCCGCCAACC